GAAGGCGAAGACGGGACCCCTGCAGCGTTTACAGGTCGTGAGGCCCGGAAAGCAGACAGAGGAGCCTGGGAAGAAGCACCCAGTGAGACAGGGAGGAAGAGGGCGGAGAGCGAGGTGTCCGCTTCTCCCTCAAGGAGAGCCTTCCAAGGCGGGAGAGTCACGTGGTGCTGGGAGGTCCAGGGATTGAGTCTGACGTTGCCTACAGAGTCCCTGAAAAGGCCACTTTCACTGGAGAGGTGTGGAGAAACCCTGGTTTAAGACGACAGCGGAAAAAAGAGATGAGGATGACAAAGGAGTCCTTGTTCCCAAGGGGCTTTAATGTCAGGAGGCAGCTTTGGGGCAGTTGTTGAAAACAGAAAATGGGAAGAGAAAGAGACTTACTTTCTCCTGTTTTGAGGGGGTCATGATGGGAGAGTCATGGTCTGTTGGCGAGGGGAGGGGTCTAGTTCAGCGGCACTATCTCATAGTGACCGGGAGGGAGGGAGAAGTCCATTCTCACGTGATTTCTCTAGATGGGAGCGTGGATGTCTGAGTCCACGAGAGGGATGGGTGGCTGGTGTAGGCACTGAGGCCGGTAAGGGGGTGGACTGTAGCCAGAGCTTGAGGAATCTGTCTCCTGCAATCCCTCTCCAGCGAGCATGGGTTTTCCCAGTGACATAGGAAGAAGGGCACGAAATGACGCCAAGGATGCGGAGAAGGACCTGGGCTCCCGGACACTGCAGAGAGGAGAAGGTAGACTCCTCTGAGTCTCTGCCATTCCAAGTGCGGTCTGCAGACCGGCAGCAGCAACATGGCCCGGCAGTTACTCCCTCATCACCGACCTCTCCCGCAGGGAACCAGCCAGAATCTGCACTTTATCAGGAGGCCTAGGTGACCTCTAAGCTGTTCTCAGATTTTCACACTGCATTCAATAAGGCAGATTTTAAGAATCTGCCTACCCAGGCCACCCTCAAGACTGCTTGTTTGAGAATGTCTTGCTGGTGGGACGGTAGCATCAGTATTCTTCACAGCTCCCCCGATAACGCCAGTTTTGATGACTGAGTGTTCCCGGCATGTGGACAAGTGAGTGCACTAGGGAAGGCCCCCCGGAAGGTTAGTGGTCCTGTGTCTGTGGACTGTTGAGTGTCTCTCCAGCTACGCACTGCTGCACAAGTGCACATCTGGAGGGGACGATGAGGGGGGTCTAATGACGCTCAGGGTTTTGCCAAGCAACTCAGAACAGGAGGTGAGGTTCCAGGTGCTACCCTGCCTTCACTCTCCCACACCCACCTCTCCCTTCCTGACAGGAACAGCTCCATTTGTAACTGTTCTCCCTGTTTTCTGGGAAAGGTGTGAAAGGAAGTTTGAGGAGTCGAGTGTACTGCTGTGAACTATGCTTTTTTTTTTTTTTTTTGCTGTATCCATCAGATTTTCTTACCAGTTATACAAGCGTCTGGTGAAGCAATGGACTCCCCATCCTGGGTGTGTGTACATGTATACACAGGATTAACTTTATTTTATTGTTTGAGCTTGAATAAACTCGGAAAACTCATCAGTAAATCTATGTGACCCCAGAGCTGTGACTATCAGTTCTTTTTTTTTTTTTTTTTTTTTTTTGGCTTTCTTTCTCTTTTTTTCTTTTATTGATTTATACACATTTCCAACTACCTCTAAAATCGTTGATTTAATTTTGGTATTTTATACTTTTCAAGGATATTCTCCACCTTTCTAAACATTTCCAGTTTATCTGTAGGGATCTGTACATAATATTGCCGTACAAATCTTTCATCTCATCTCTGCCTCTGTCATACTCAGCTTGCTTCCCATGCCTAATTTTGTTGATTTCCTCTTCTGCCATCTTTCCTGCCCTTTCATTAAATTTTACAGGGTTTTGTCTACTTTACTGATTGATTTGAAGACTAATTTACTGGGCTTATTTGTAATAAATAAATATACTAAGCTGTCTTTTTTATGAAATTAAAATACACACACAACTAACATTTTAAAAAGTATTTTAATTGAAGCATAGTGGATTTACAGTGTTGCGTTAGTTTCTGGTGTACAGCATAGTGATTCAGTTATATATATTTTTTTCCTATTCTTTTCCCTGATACATTACTACAAGATACTGAATATAGTTCCCTGCGCTGTACAGTAGGACCTTGTTGTTTACCTATATTGTATATACCAGTTAGTATCTGCACATGTCAAACTCCCAATTTATCCCTCCCCTCCTTTCCCCTGTGGTATCTGTAAGTTTGTTTTCTATGTCTACGAGTGTTTGTTTTGTAAATAAGTTCATTTGTGTTTTCTTATATTCCACATATAAGTTGTCACAGTATATTTGTCTTTCTCTGGCTTACTTCACTTAGTATGATCTCTAGATCCATCCATGTTGCTGCAGGTGGCGTTTTATTACTTTTTTATGGCTGTGTAGTATTCCATTGTTGATATATACCGCAGCT